CACACACACACACACACACACACACACACACACACACACACACACATTTATCCAGTGAGGACTTGGAGGATCCAGCAGATAAACTATCCATCAGCTAACCCTGGGCTATTTCCAGATGCTGTGCTTTCTAAACAATCAGCTCTGCTGTGAAGCTGAGGCCAGCGAAGTAGAATGTCACCTGATATTCACTCCCCTTTCTTCCTCCCTGCTTCTCTTCATACCTGCTTCCCCGGGATGGTCCCCTGAAATGATGGCTGCATAGCCCCAAACTTATTTTCTAGGAAATCTGAAGAGTTAATGAATGATAAACCCTGTGCTTAGTATTAGGGAAGAGACCCTCTTTTTATGTGTGACTTATCCAGGCTACTTGCAAGGCAGAAGCAGGACAATCATGAGTTCAAGGCCTGCCAGGGCTACAGAGTGAGTTCAAAACCAGCCTAGGCAGCTTAATGAGAGCATGTCTCAAAATATGGTGGGAAGAGAACTGAGATTCAGTTGAATGTTTGAGAGAGAACACGTGCCTAAGCAAACATGAGGCCCTAGGTTTAGTTCCCCCCCACCACCACTAACAATAATAATAATAATAATAATAATGATAAATAATATATAATAATAATAATAGCACAAAATGGTAAAATAGGACCAATATTAAAACCTCCTTCCCATATGTCTCAGTTGGGGTTTCTATTACTATGATAAAGCACTGTGACCGAAAGGGTTGGGGAGAAAGGTTTATTTCCACTTATATAGTCCATCATGAAGAGCGGTCAGAGCAGGAACTCAAGGAAGGAACCTGGAGGCAGGAACTGATGCAGAGGCCATGGAGGAGCGCTGCTGACTGGCTTGCTCCCTTCATAGCTTGCTCAGCCTGCTTTCTTATAGCACCCAGGGCTACCAGCCCAGGACTGGCACAGCCTATCACTATAGGTCTATCACTATAGAGCTGGGCCCTCTCACATGCATCACTAATGAAGACAAAAATACACTATAGACTTACCCATAGGCCAATCTCAAGGAGGTATTTTCTCAATTGAGAGTTTTTCTTCCCAAACGACTCTAGCGTGTGTAAATTTGACCTAAAACTAACCAACATACCATACATGTGTCCCTAGAGTCTCTTAGGATCTTCTTCTCTTAACACACATCGGGGATTGCTTTATAACAACATATGTAAGTCCCCCACAAAGTTTTGGCTGCATAATTGTGGTGGTTTGAATGTAATTGGCCCACATAAGCTCAGAGGGAGTGGCACTATTAGGATGTATGGCCTTGTTGGAGGAAGTGTGTCACTGTGGGGGAGGGCTTTGAGGTCTCCTTTGCTCAAGCTTTGCTCAGGGTGACAGTCAGACCACTCCCTCTTGCCTGTAGCTCCAAGATAGAGAATTTTCAGCTCCTTCTCCAGCACCATGTCTGTCTGCATGCTGCCATGTCCCACCATGATGATGACGGGTTGAACCTCTGAACTGTATGTAAGCCACCCAATTAAATGTTTTTCCTTCATAAGAGTTGCCGTGGTCACGGTGTCTCTCCACAGCAATAGAAACTCTACCTAAGACAATCGTATTGTAATGTGCAGATATACCATAATTTATTTGTTCATTCCATTATTAAATGAAACTTCAGGCTGTTTCCCTGAGTAACATTATACATACTTTGGTATTTCATACATTTCTGTCCTAGGTTGCTTTTTTTTTTTTTCTTTTTTCTTTTTTTGAGCTGAGGACCGAACCCAGGGCCTTGAGCTTGCTAGGCAAGTGCTCTACCACTGAGCTAAATTCCCCAACCCCCCCACCTTTCTTTTTTTTATTGCTGTCACCAAGAAACTTGAGGAAAGAAAGGGTCTATTTGACTTACAGGTTACACGGTCTACCATCAAGGAAATTCCAGGCAGGAACCTGGATTCAGGAACTGAAACAGAGACCATGAAGAAATGCTTCTTACTGGCTGGCTCAGCTCTACAACCTAGGCCCACCTGCCTGGGTATTGATAGTACCCACAGTGGATTGGACCTTCCACATCAACCACCTTTAAAGAAAATGACTCCATAGACATGTCCATAGGTCGATCTGATGAAGGCAAATCATCAATTGATATTCCCTCTTCGAAGGTATGTGTAGGTTTATATCAAGTTGACAAAAACTGTGACAATGTCTGTGTAGCTTTATATATTTCTAGAAATAGTACTAGCTCAAAGAGTGTGTAAGTCTGCATAAAAGTATCTGTTAGTACCAGGTGGTGGTGGCACACGCCTTTAACCTCAGCACTCGGGAGGCAGAGGCAGAAGGATGTCTGTGAGTTCGAGGCCAGCCTGGTCTACAGAGCAAGCTACAGAACAGCCAGTGCTACCCAGAGAAACCCTGTCTAGAAAAACGGAAAAGGAAAAAAAAGTATCTGTTAGTGTGTTGACAACAGTTTTTCTTTCTGATTTTTGGTTGATGGAATACAATATCCCATCAAAAATAGAGGCCTCAGATTCTCAAGAGTCATTTAGTTTTTTGTTTTGTTTTTTTTTTTTCTTCTGTGAACCATTTGTTCTTGAGGAAATCTTCTGCCAGGGAACAAGTGTTGGTGCCTCTATTTTATTTTTAAATGCTTGAGCACCAAGTCTCCAAGAAAACAAGTGGGTGCCTTAACACGGCTCTCACCATGGCTGCTTGAGACGCTGACGTGCGCGCCTTTTCCAAGTTGCGATGTCGAGCCCCCTGTTCATCAAGTTCACAGTCTGGCAAGACACGGCAGACGGTACGGAAAAGGAAGCGCATCAGGCTCACGTGGAGGGAGCTCTGTGGTCCCAGTGGTGATGCCCCGAGCACATGACAATACCCACGCGGAGGGCTGATGTTGGTGTCAATGCAACTGACATTTCGATGCAGTATCTGGGATGGCGTTGACCTGCAGGCGATGTCCTGCCTGGTTCCTAGACTCCAAAGGATGAAACCTGACTGGACTGGTACAGGACAGCATGACAATCCTTAACATGTGACAATTTTCAAGTTATTACAAAGAACGCAGAGACTAGGGGGTATTTAAATACCCACAGGGGCAGAAAGGGAGGTCTGCTGAGGTGAGTTTTGAGAAAAGAACTTGAAGGATGAAATGGAACGGGACAGAGAGCAATCCAGAGAGAACTGTATGCAGAAGATTATAATTAGCAAAAAGATGGAGGCCTGGGGTATTTTTATTGTAAAGGATGACTAATCCAGGGTAGCCAGAAAATTGTGTGGGGTGTGTGTGTGTGTGTGTGTGTGTGTGTGTGTGTGTGTGTGTGTGTTTACAAGCAAGGGGTATGAAAGATGGACAGAAGGAGAGATGAAGTCACCCTTTAATTAAAGACTTTTTTCTTCCTTGCGTTTCTCAATTAAACCCAATTTCCTTAAACATTTTATCTGACACACGTAAAAAGCCCCAAGATAAACACAAGTTGGGATGATATATAAATGGCCCTATTATAGAGAAGATAGAAGAACCAGGTCAGAGAGAGTTAGTCCCGATTAGTCACAAGCCCTCCGGAAAAATTAAAAACAAATCCTAGGGCATAAAGGTTAATGGATACATTTGTAAGAACAAAACAGCTCAGCCTCAGGTTGGAACAAGGCAAAGACTTTTTTCTCAAGCCTACAAAAATGGTGCATTTTTTTTTTTTAATGACATGGTACATGTGCCCTTCCATCACCCTCCCTTGGCCCCCTCCCCCCACTTCCTGGTTCCTTTCCTTTCCCTGACGCTTAGCAAGCCTTCTGTTTCCATACCTTGGATATATTTAAATCTAGGTTCTTCATATGAGAGGGACGGCGCAATAAAAAACTTCTTTAAAATAGGGAGATTGCTTTTGTGTTGATGGTAATTAGAAGTATGGGAATAAAGAACAATCAAAGCGTGGCTGAAAATGAGGGGCCAATGAGTGAAATCAGTTGCTCGATGAAGCTCTAATGATCTTCACTTTGTAACCCGCCCAGGAGATTTTCCTAATGAATACTCCAGAGTGCAGCCATCTTTAAAATTCTGCTTGGCTTTAACAGGGGAAGAAAAAAAAACATGATAATTATTTTTTCAAAAAGACATTGCCAAGGTTTATCCATGCCAAACGCTGAGGGAAATTTTAATGTGAAATGAACCACAGAGAAGCGTAATAATGAGGGTGGCTCACAAAGGCTCTGTCATCTGCGGAGATGCGGGCACTTCTCTACTTCGCCTTCCGCTCCTCCTCAAACTGTTCTCGCCTAATCCTGGGTGTTTATATTATCCACCCCCTTCAAACCCAGCACTTGACAGACTCCAGGCATTAAAAACAAGCACGCGTTCCCAAATCTTCACATATAAGGCGAAACCAGCAGCCGAGGTCCAGATGACCTCACTAACACCCTGGCCTGCAGGCCAGCCTCGTCCTAAAGACCCAGGCAAGGGCCGTGGCTGCGGTGTTAATGGAAATCAAGGTTTCTGCATGCTAAGCAGGCTAGGGCTCTTATACCCCAGTGCAATTACTCTTGCATAATGACTGTCTACATCTTGCTTGCTTCAGAACCCGGGATAGACCTTGCCTGGACCTTCCCGGTAGAGTAGGGGGGAGGGCAGGGGGTGGAAGCAGTGATGGCGGGTGTCAGGAACTGTCTAGGGAGTGATTGATCATTTGGGGCAGGATGAATTGCCGCACACAGACTCCACGCCACATACTCGAAAGCTGGTGGCTCCACAACCTTTTCCCTCTTCTTGCCTGTGAGCCCAACTTGGTTTAGAAACACGTGACCAGCGCGTGGAATGAGTGACACTGGGTCTCCACCAATCACGGTAAATCCATTTTCCTTTGCCAGTGACCGGGATGGGAGCAGGCATGTGAGCTCGGTGTCGATCGGTAGACGTTGAGAAGTCGCCTGAGGATCCGTTGAAAAGATCTTGTTCTCCAAGGAAAGAGAAAAGCCATGTATGTCCTTCTCTTCGATTTCACCTCACATGCCTTCGAATAAAGGGTATTTCCTCTAGTGGTGACATCAGGCTGCCAATCAAAACGCTTCTGACTCATTGAAGAAGCAGGGTGGAATCTGCCTTGTAGATAACAGTACTGAGTTACGGAATCAGACTTGAGACAGGCTTCTGATTGAGTAAAGAAGAAATGCTCTCTGGTCTTAGGGCATTATCTGTTCATTGTTCTTCCCCTCCTTTTTTTCTGTGGTACTGGGATTGAACCTAGGGTCTCTCATATGTTAGCCAAGTACCTCAGATTTCTGTTTCTCACAGCAGGCAAAACACATTTTCTACACAGTGGAAACGGAGTCAGTAGCCCAAGGAACAGTGGGAGAGTGAATACCAAGAGTGAGGTGGAGCAGTAGTTAGGAGAGCTGTGGAAATGTTCAGGTCTGGGGGGGGGTGTTAGCTGAGCTTTGGAGGGCTCCCCTAAGGTGAACCAGGGCTGGCACCAAGCGTGTGAAGAGCCAGTGTAGAGCTCCAACCATTTCTGCTCTTTCTTCATGTAGCACACTTTCACTCAGATCCTTATTGTGCTATGCTCAGGCCCTTACCCGTTTCCTGACAGGCCTCCTGTCTTGTGTCTCTCCACCTTCCGATCTACCCCGGGGTATGGCAGTGAGAGTAACCACGAGCTCAGCCACTTGTGTGTGAAAACCTTTGGCGGCTCTCTCTCTTTTCTGTGTGCTGTGAACAGACACCATGACCAAGGAAATTCTAGAAAGAACAATGTATTGAGACTTATAATTTCAAAGGGTGAGGCCATGACCATCATGGTGGGGAGCATGGCAGCAGGTCCGTAGACATGGTCCTAGAGCAGTAGCTGAGAGCTCACAACCTGATCAGCAAGTACGAGACAGAGAAAGAGGACAAACTGGGAGCATGGTCAGCTTTTGAAACCTCAAAGCCCTCACTCCTAATGACACGCCTCCTTCAACAAGGCCACACCTCCTAATCCTTCCCAAACAGTTCCACCAATGGAGGACCAACGTACTCAAGCCTATGGGGACCATTCTCATTCTAACCACCACCTTCCCCATTTTGAAAGTTTACCTTCACTAGCCTTTACAGTAGTCCCTTAAGGTCAGCTCTCTATTGGAACTGTTTGTTTTATGAGGTTCTCACAAAAGTTATATGCAATAACTTTCAGTGGTTTTTAGTCACAGACATGTTTGTGTTGTGAAACATTGGTTGAAGATGTGTCCCATTTGTTTATGCTGTGGAACATCTGTTGAATGATGCAAAGATGTGCTGCATTCTTTTATGCTGCATCTGTTTAACACTGTAAAGCTGTGTGACTTTGCCCATCTAAAACACCTGATTGGTCTAATAAGGAGCTGAATATCTAGTAGCTAGGCAGGAAAGAGTCGTAGGTGGTGCTGGCAGGCAGAGAGAATAAATAAGAGATTGAGGAGAAGGAGAGAGGACCCCAGGGGCCAGTCACCCAGCTACACAGCAAGCCACCAAGTAAGAAGTAAGGAAATGTATATAGAACAGAGAAAGATAAAAGCCCAGAGGCAAAAGGAAGACATGATCATTTAAGTTAAGAAAAGTTGGCAAGAAATAAGCCAAGCTAAGGCTGGGCATTCATACGAAAGAATAAGCCTCCATGTATTTATTTGGGAGCTGGGTGTCAGGGCCCCCAAAGAGTTAAAAAAAAAAAACAATATGTTTGTTTAACATTGTTTTTCTTGACCTCACACCTTACAGATTTCAGAAAAAACAGTGTTGACCAATGACTGGATATATGTACTGATTTTATGGATAAGCTATTTTGAACATGTAATATCATTCCTATAAATTATGTTTAGATTAACTTTCCATGCGTGACTACTATTTTTCTTATTATTTTATGATTTAATATGAACATTTATTGTCTTTAGACACTCAGGAGACCCAGGCAAAAAGATTATGAGTTTGAAAGCTAGCCTGTGTTACACGGTAAAACCAAGTCTCAAAAACAAAGCAAAACAAAATTACTTTAAAAAAAATTGTGCCATAGATGTCCAGCAAATGGACAAATATGGAAAACTGCAATGCTTTGAATTTGAGTCTCTATTTGTTATAACTTAAAAAAAGTATGTGTGTGTTCTCTGTATATGTGTGTGTGTGTGCATGTGTGTGTGTGCATGTATGTGCACATGTATGTGTGGTGTATATATGTATGTGTGCCCCACGATGCAGAGATTAGGGATCAACGTCAGATGTCTTCCTCTGTTGCTCTGCACCTTATTTTATTTTTGAGGCAGGATATTTTTGGGACAGTCATTTCTAATTATTGAGACAGGATCTCCCACTGAACCTAGAGCTCATTACACCAGCCGGCCAGCAAGCCTCAGGGATGACCCCCCCCCCCTCACTCCTACCCCCACATCTCCATCTGCAGTGGGGGGACTCCCAGGGTACATCCCTTGACTTGGTTTTGTATGTAGGTTCTGGAGCTTAAGGTCCTTATGTTTGCTTGTACAAACCCACTGGGCCACCTCTCCAGCTCCTATTATAAAATTTTTATCCAATAATTAGATTTGTTTTACCTTATTTCTATGAGTGCTTGGTTTGTGTGGATATCTGTGCACCATGTGTGTTCCTGGTGCCCACAGAGGTCAGAAGGAGGCACTGGATCCCCTGTAATGGGGGTTGTATATGGTTGTGAGCAGCTACGTGAGTGCTGGGTAACAAATCAGGGTCTTCCAAAAGAATAACAAATGCTGTTAACTGCTGAGCCAGCTCCTAACTATAATTTTTAACTAGCAACTCCGTTATGACTTGATTAAAAAAAAACCTGCAAAAATGAACTAGCTTTCTGATCAATGGCATCATTAACAACCCTATTGGAATTTGCCCATCTTTTATATGGTTTTGATTCCACAACTGAGGTCTTATCGTTTTCTCTGGAATGTTCTCTTTGTCCTCCCCTAACTGATTCTCAAACACTCTTCAAGGCTATCTTTTTTGGGGCCTCTGCAATTCACTGTGGATTTTCTTTCTTTTGGGTTCCTGCTGTATTACTACCTACGTCATTTCTTGTGTATCTTGGGCTGTGACCTTTTAAGTGTACACATAATCCAAATATCAAGAATTTCTCTTCCTTTAAGTGTTTTTTTTTTTTTTTTTTTTTTGGCAGAGGTTTTTTTTTCTTTTTGAGACAGGGTTTCTCTCTGTAGCCCAGGCTGGCATTGAACTCACAGAGATCCACTTGCCTCTGCCTCCCAAGTGCTGGGATTAAAGGCGTGCGCCACCAGCGCCTGGCCCCCACTTTGGTGTTTAATAGAATAAATCAAACCCTGACTACATGTCACGTGGCTCCCCTGAGAAGAACACCCGAGTCCTCCGTTGTGACTCTTCAGACTCTGTTCTGTGCGTCTTCTTTCACCACTGTGGCCTCCTGCACTTTACCCTCTTTTAGGGTCACATTCCCCCAAGAAACGGGGAGTTTGTCTGGGTTTCTCTTTCTCTGTTCCTTAAAGCACCACGTACACAAGGCTGCTCCACGGAATTAACGTTTTCTGAGCATTTTGGATTAATAGGATAATCTGAGCAGGCTAGGAAAGGACTGAAATCCCTATATTGTAATAAAGTCATTTCTAATTATTGAGCACTTGATATATTTTTTTTACTTTTTTGCTTGCATTGTTCCGTTAGATATGTACTTGCTAGTAAACCTCTGGTGAGCCAGGGGGGCCACCATTCAATGTCCCAGGCTTTCTGACCTTGGAGCCTCTGATATTGATCAGCATTTCTAAAGCTCACGGCCTTCAAAGAACCTCTCTCTTACTAGACATACAGATTTTATTGTTTGCCTGTCCACTGCCAAATACATTTCTCTTTCTTCCTTGTAAAAGTTTGACTTTCACAGAAAGCAAGAACAATCCCACCCTGAGAGCTGCACCTTGGCTGATCCTAGCAGTTTTGCCAGACATTGGATGATGTAGGCATGGCTATACCATACATTCTGGCTAAAGAGTTATGAAAGGGAATCTTCTGAGCTCCTTCTAGAAAAACATCTCTCCTCCCAAGATGGCTGCTTTCTCCCAGCACTGTCTTGTTCAGAGGGGATGCGTGCCTGCAATTGCTGTTCCCCAAGGACGAAGACAGCACACACAGTCAAACAAGAACGATGGTGAAGAAAGCTGACCTTTACTGTTGGCCTGCCCGAGTATTTCATCTTGAGCACGCCTGCTTCTCGACTGTCTGGACACTGCTCTGTTTTGCGCACATTTCCTCTTATTTACACTGGAAAACGTTCTAATGGATGTTTTGGTGTCTCTCTCCTAAGACACCACTCTGCTTCCATCACAAAAGCTCTGTCTCTTTCATTGTTGGCTATTTACATTTTACTCCTTGGGGGCGGGGGAGGGTGCCACCCAGCTCCCAAATAAATACACATGGAGACTTATTATTACTTAAACGCCTGGCCTTAACTTGGCTTGCTTGTAGACAGCTTTTCTTTTCTTTTTCTTTTTTTTTTTTAAATTTTTTTTTATTTTTATTATTAAGAAATTTTCTTTTCATTTTACATACCAACCACAGACGCCCCCCCTCCCGCCCCTGCAGCCTTCCCCCCACCCCCACCCCCATTCCTACCTCCTTCAAGGCAAGGTCATGGGGAGTCAGCAGAGTCTGGTTCATTCAAGGTCCAATCCAAACCCCCCATACCCCCACCTTCCCACCCCCCTCACCCCCACTGCACCAAGGCTGCACAAGGTGTCCCACCATAGGCACTGGGCTCCAAAAAGCAAGCTAATGCACCAGGGACAGATCCCAATCCCACTGCCTGGGGGCCCCCTAATCAAGTTCAAGCTAAACAATTGTCTCACCTATCCAGAAGGCCTAGTCCAGTTCCATGGGGGCTCCATGGCTATTGGTCCACAGTTCATGGGTTTGTCTGTAGCCAGCTTTTCTTAGCTTAAATTATCCCATCTACCTTTTGCCTCTGGGCTTTTACCTTCCTCTATTTCTGTGTATCTTTTCTTTCCTTCTTGTTCCATGTCTGGCCAATAGGTGGTTGGTCTCTTCTTTTCTCGCCCTT